ATTGATTGTGCTGTGAGTGAATGTCAAAAAAGCAAAGTTGGCCAAACGAAAAAGTGACTCCATCCAACTTTACTTTTTTGAAATCCACAGTGACTCACAGCACAAGAACCAATCAATTCTCACAAATTTGATTTATTTTATCAGAGTGGTAAAAAAAATATAGTATATTTCCTTGTGTTGTAGGTATTTATTTAAATTTAAATATATACATTATTACACTAATAATTATTATTGTTATATAACCATCGTGATATAATTAAAAATAAACACTTATAACGTAATGTAATTTCTACAATGGTAATTACAAAAAAAATATAATTTAATGAGAGGGATGTACTTGATAGATTGACAGCAAATTATCAATATTTGGCGTGAGTTTTGTAAGTAATAACCGTAAATCTCCCCTTTCTGTCATATTCAATCTGCTCCTTTTTTTTGTTAATAAGTTTGTTACGGCACTAAAACTTTTTTCGACGAGATATGACGAGGGAAACGCTATCAGAAGCTTTGCACAATTCCCCACAGTCCAGGATATTTTTCGGGTATTTCTGCCTGCAGCCAAAATTTTTGATACCCTCTTTTAAATGTCACTTTCAGCTCCTCATTAGTGCTAAGCTCGAGTAGCTCCTCTTGTAATATCACATTCTCCATTTCCGTTTGATTAAATGGATTTATGATCCATGGTGGTATTTCCATTGACAGAATATATTTAAATCTGAATTTAAAATCATCATGCAGGGCAATCAAATGTTGAACGTATGTCTGAATATCTTCATCAAGGCATTTTACCTGCGACAAGTGTGAAAACTGTGAAAATTCGCGCCAACCAATATTTTCCTTCATAAATTTCAATTTACCAAGAAAAGCTGAAATTACACTCTTTGTTTTTATTAAATTGAGGCTGTCCCCTTGTAATTGTAAGTTGAAGTCATTAAATTTTTTGAACAAATCTGTCAAATAAGCGATGTCTACTTTAAAATTGATCAAGTTTTTTTTAAATCAGTATCTTTACTTTCCAAAAACTCTAAAACTGAGTCAAAAAGTAAATAAAATCTTGAAAAACATGCACCTTTCGACAACCAGCGTACTTCGGTATGTAACAGCAATCCTTGGAAGTCTTCATCATTTTCATCGCACAATTGTGCAAATAAACGAGTATTCAATGCGTTGCTCTTATTTTGTTAACTGCATTAATCACAAATTGAAGCGATTGGTGCAATCTATCACTCAAATTTTTCGCTACTAGATGTTGTCGGTGGATAACACAGTGAATCGCAATTACCTCTGGTATAATTCTTTTAAGGTGGCTTATAAACCCACGATATCGCCCGACCATGGTTGCCACCGAAATAACGTTTGTGAATGTAATCGATTTTTCTTTAAAAAAATCACTCAAAACAATAAATATTGATTCACCTTTAGAGTCCGTTTTCAAAGTTTTCGCGAATAGTAGCTCTTCATGAATTTCTTCGCCCATAACAAATCGAACATATGCCAATAATAATGCTTCATTGCCAGGTAAAGTTGACTCGTCCAGTTGAATAGAAAAATAAGTTGTTCGTAGATAATCACACAAGAAACTTTCAACATCAGAGCTCATTTCATCAATACGTCGTTGTACAGTGTTGTTACTTAAAGGAATTCTTTTGAGTATGTCAAATGAAGATTTGTGCAGAGCAGTTTTTAAAACCTCTTCAACAGCAGGTAAAATTAACTGTTCTCCAGTGGTGTGCGGTTTTCCAGATTTTGCGATAAGTAATGAGATATTGTAAGATGCCGGCAGGCCATCATCGTTGCTTTTAGACGTTGAAGAGAACATACTGTGCACGGTGGGTGTCTTTTCATATTTTTCCATTAATGTTTGGAAATATTTCAAATCTTAACCCATTTTATCAGGATGACACCTTCTTAGATGATCTTCCAGCTTTGATGGTTTCATAGAGTCATTGCTCAAAACTTTGTTGCATAGAAGGCATGTGGGCAATCGTTTATCTGCCTTTGATCGAAGAAAACCAAATTTTAAATATTCAACACTGTACTGACGACACTTCTTCTTAGATTCGGCCATGTTTTGTAACTAACCTAACCTAAACTAACCTAACCTACCTGTAAATAAATAAAAAACACTTCGTTTTAGTAATCTTAAGGCGATTCGAACTTAACAGGATATGGCTATCTTAACATAATAAAATTAATTAATTATTATAAATATTATGAAATAAACAAAGTTCCGACTGCAAACTGTTTCTAATTATTAAAAGCAATAAATCGCTAAGATCCATAATAGAGTTTTATGAAAACGGCTGAACCTATTTTAATGTGATATAAAATTAGTATTTCATTTATTATATTTTAATATATTTCTGTAAATTCCATAGAAACTTTTAAACAATATGTTGATATCAAAACTCTGCAATAATTAAATGAATTAGATAGGTAATAAAAATAAAGTAGGGACGATAAGTTCAATCTTTCTCGGCTTAAAACTATATGCATATAACAATTAGGCAGGTAGGTACTTACTTTTCCGACACTGGCAATCACTAATATCGATTCACTTTACTTTTCTTTTCGAAAGTCTGGAAACAAATTCAGTCACTGGCCAACACTAATATCGATTCACTTTTCTTTATGAAATTCCAGAAACAAATGAGTAACGATTATCCTTGACATTCGTATTTATATTGGTGAAGAATCAAACACGTTCATGCAAGATTGCAAGCACATACACCACAAGTCGTATTAATTTGCACTTCTGAACAAGCGTTGCGGACGGAAGGGCGGCCGGCGCGGCAACGACAAGTCTCGACACGTTGTACTGAATATGGAATATGCAATTTTTTACAAGTAACAGTCGCTGAGCTTCTTAAAATGTTATCTGCCTATATTGATAAGAGAAGTCAATATTTTAGTAACTAAAATGTTGACTGTTTATATTATAAACAGTTGAAGTTTTTTAAAAGAATTTCTTCATCACATGGAAAAATGAGTAATCAATTGCTTCACTATCGAAATTAATTTTTATGCACCCCCGCTTACGATTGTGGACCCCCATTTTTTATTACGCCCAACGTAGACCCCCGTCGAGTCTCCCGTGGACCCCTGGGGGTCCACCTGGACCACTTTGGGAAATACTGGTTTAAAACAACAATAATTTAAATTTTTAAAAATTGTAGAGATGCCTTAAACTGACAACACAGACGGGATTTTGAATGTTATTTTCATTTAAACTATGCAAAATCGAAATAATTGCCTAGTTGATTATTGATTTATTTATTATAGATTAAGTTGAAAAGAACTATCGCACGGACTGCAAAAATAGTTTTGATATTTATTCATCCACCATTTTTTTAAATTGTCCACGCCTTCACCAAAATTTTAAAAATTGCTTGTTTCAAATTTGTTCAAGAATCTTATATTAAAAGAAGTTCGGTGTTCATAGTCTATTAGAAACATTAATCTATATACGAGTATTAAATGAGCAGTTGAGAACGCCAGCAGTTCAGCGAGATGCAAGTCAAAGGTTTGTAACTTATGTTGCTCCCAAAGTTTTTAATACTATTCTTTTTATTCTGTTTTTGTAAATGTATAAATGTGTATATAATTGTTTTTTTTTTTTATTTATATCTTACTCTATATTTTATATTAGTATATTAGCATGCCGAAGCACTGATGAAATATGTATAATTTATAATTTTATTGCCATTACTTTTTGCACATACAGGTGCTTAACTTAATTTATAATTTTTCAAAATATTTGTAAACATCCATTGTTATTAAATTTAATTTAATTTAAATAAATAAAATAAATAAATTATATTTGAAAGTACTTTGAAACAGTATTGATACTTTACTTGTTATTGCTCATATTGAATCGTTCCTACTCAATAGACAAATGCAGTATTAAACGTTTCCTAAAAGATGAAGACTTTCCTTGATTAATCTTTCTCCTGACCTTGGTCCCAAGTTTAAATTTCTCCATGAAGAATACCAATTTTGCACCGTTTTGTAAGTAGAATTTTTCTTCTATTGTCTAAAATCAATATCGTATTCTCATCAAATTCATGATTTTTTTTGATTCTGTTATTGTCATACTATCATTAAAATATTCGAAAAACAAATAATTTACATATGGCTTGGCTTGAAGAAATCTTAGTTGTTTCAAGAGTATGATTATATTTAGTTTGTATCGTAATTACAGATTGCAATCCTTTCTGAAATAATACCAAATTAAAAAAATTCAAACTGAGAAATAATTACTTGTACCAAAAACAAAACGAGTATGTTAAATTAGATTTTAATATTAAACATTAGGTATATTTAAAGTTCTATCCTATTATTTACCTTAATAAATGGATTTTTTAGTCTTGTTGGTTTAGTATTTGTTTGTTAATGTCATCCATATCTTTGAGGTTACTTCGAATGTATATTTTCATTTTTATTTGTATCATTTTTGTAAAACACGTTTTCAAATTCAGTTAGCAAAGACATCTCAAAAGATTCATAAAATATGAAAATCATAGTAAAACCGTCACTCGCTTAACCTCTAAACCAGTGTTTTTCAACCTGTGGGTCGCGACCCCCTGGGGGGTCGCGAGCTTCTGTAGGGGGGTCGCCAGAGGTCGAGAGAACTTCAGTAAAAAATCAAATTTTTAATCTTTATGAAGTAAGAGAATTTTAACAAAAGGATATACTCATAAACATTTGTATGTTAATACAAACAAATTAACAAAAAATAAAATCCTAAGACTCATGTTAATGCAAAGGTTAGAATTAAATCGTTTTCCAAATTTAAGCGATTTCTTTGCTAACTTTTTATTTGGGCCATTGATGAAAATGTCAACTCGCATAAGTACGAGGTGGCAAATGGAATCGAAACACTTCAAAGCCTCAGTTGTCAATTCCGGGTATTCTGTTTTTCTCTTTAACCAAAAGGTATCCAAATTAACAGACTTGAATTCCAAGTATAACATCCCATCGGCAGATAATTCTAGCATATTCTATTTGAGCTTAGTTGACAAATTAACCTCATTTATAGCTGCATTTAAAAACGGATTTAAGATCCACCTCTGCCCAGTGTTCTCCGATGTCTCTTGCACTGAAAAGTAATGACATAATTCTTCTTTCAAATTATCTAACACCATTTTCATACCAGGTATATATGCCTTGATGTTTATCTCACATCCGACTGCTTCAGTAAAAGATTGTGTCGACGAAAATGAATCGAAGTTATTTTGATTTATAGACGACGACCACAAGTCAATATTTTTTGTAAAGCCATGTATTTTGTCTTTTGCAGTAATGACATTTTCATCTATCCCTTGAAGACTTTTATTCAAGATATTTAAATGCTCAAATAAGTCAGAAAGAAAAGCTAATTTTAAAAGAAATTCCGGGTCGCAAATGAATTCAGAGTATTTTGACTTGGTCTGCTGTAAATATATTAAAAGTTCAGCACGAAGTTCCATAACTCTGGTCAGTACTTTGCCTTTTGACAACCACCTAACCTCTGGATGGTAAAGTAAATGTTGGTGGAGTGCCGCCCCCATATCTTCACAAATAATCCGAAACAATCTGCAACGCTTTCCCTTTAATAGAATTTACAATATTTATAATAATATTTAGAACTTGGCTGTATTCCTGTAGGAAGGTTTTGGCCGCAAGAGCTTAGCGATGGAGAAAGCAATGCACCCAACAAGCGTTTGGCATCAGTTGTTTCAGCCTAGCCATAAATCCACTCTTCGCACCAGTCATCGCTTTTGCTCCGTCGCTGCAAATAGCAATGCATTTATTTGCCCAATCGATATTCATATCTTGCGTAGCTTCAAGAAACATGTTATGCAAGCACTGACCTGTAGTATTTGTGGGAAGCGCTCTGCAAAATAGTATTTCTTCCATTAATTTTTCACTGGATTCAAAACGCACATACAAAATGTGCTATATTATGTACTTATATCCGAATCCTAATTATGGAGACGCATAAAAACGTCGTATGGAATGAATATTTCTAACAGTGTAACATACACATACATACATGATAAAAAAGTGAAGGGTCGGGGGGTCGCGAAATATTTTTTCATACCAGGGGGGTCGCATCATGAAAAAGGTTGAAAAACACTGCTCTAAACAATCAAATGCGTACCGATTCATTTAACCAGAAAAAAATTATATTATTTAGACATTATTGTTATTAAGTAGGTACATAAATTATCCGTCAATTCTGACTAACACTACTATTAATTATATTGTATATGGAAACAACCTTTAATCTGATCGGGTAGATGGTGGTTTTACGGTATTCGGGTGACTTAAAACAACGTTACCACATTAGGTATACCTTTATATTCGGGGCAGATTTTCAAGCCGAATTCCATAACGACTATACCATCATTTGAAGGTCCTACATTCACCGTCATTTATTCCACGTCGTCGATGGTTAAACGTTAGTCCGATAAGTCAAATAGTGTCACGATCCATGGTGGAACGTTCCAACCGCCACTCATTCATGACGTGATCGGAGATATCACTACTTAACTTTTGCTAGAACGTGGATGCAAATACTCATCTCGCGGCTAGCCTCTACGACCTAAAAAAAGTAATGAATTATTGAGAAAATGAACAAAATGGAAAAATCACCCTGTATCTTGGTTATATATAAATAATCAGATACTCAATAAATATAGATTATTTAGAACCACTTCGATGGTCCCTATCTACTTCTAAAGTAAGCGTATTTACCTATAAAAAAAGAATCAAAATCTCAGAAATTAATTAAATTCATTATTAGTATGCCTATAGGCTTTTCCGTAGTGTGAATATTTATAAACAATTTTAATAAAGCTAGATTTAATGCTTTCTTTTCAATCAAAACACACGGAATTTTTTACACCTATATTCTTTTTATTGTCATACTCCTAATTTGGGCAATTCTATTAAAACGGCGATTACGGCCGTTAATAATCCGTTAAAACGATTTGTACAACTTATCACGCTTGGATCTACCGTAATTCGGTGAGTCCGAATCTCTAATTCGTGCTCATCCTACTTTCCTCGTCTCCATCCTAAGCCTCAATTATTTTTTATTTCTATTTAATCAGACGTAAACAAATTTGTGACGCTTTCGATTCGTATATATTTTTTTCTTGTTTTTCTCTTGAGAATTAACCTCGATTTCCTCAAAATATCACCGCCCGCAGGCTATAAATTCGATTTCATTATTATTAACGATTATCGCCAATGGCTACTTGGTAACCAACCGCCTCGTTATAAGGTTCATTGGTTACCATCGATAACAAAATAATAATTCTATAATGCATTTTTTAAATGATGTATTTATGGGACTGAAAAGTGAGAATAGAAAACGGATTATAGCTTGTAATTGGTATTTTAAATCGGTTGAATTATCAAGAGTCTTATTGAAACTATTAAAACGTGAGATTGGTCGACGATTCAGTCTAGCATCCGCAACATTTGGAAAACAGACGATACATGTTTAGATGAGAAATTCCAATCTGTCTCCAATCTATCTAAAAAAGGGTGGTGCCCACGGGGTAATCGACCCAATAATACTATACCCAATACACTTAAGGGCGTGTTGTATCGCAGTTGGTTACCTACTGATTTGCCATAATCACTGGTTATATCATAATAGGTTATTGTATCGCCTACTAAAAGAAGTTTACTTGTTGGGCAAGATTGGTTTTTCTAAGCACTCAATTTCGTCTGGTTAAGAAAGGGTTCGTACACAGAATAATCATTATGTATTAGTCATGGCAATTAAATATTCAGTATGGTAGATTTCCGATAATGACACCAGAAGAACGGTATAGAATAAGCGATGTTATTGATTAGACAGAGGTAGAACAGTGCGAGTCAGCCCACTAGTGGTAGATGTGTATCCATCTGTCCAATTACGGCAGACAAGCAGCCGATTTATGAGTATTTTCTTACGTGCAAATATAATTAAGCGTCTTATCTTTATTTCGAAGGATCTATGGGTTAATATATTGTAGATCCCAAGAACTATTCCACTGAATAATATTCTTCCAATAATTCACCCCGTCACCAGTGAATTTTAACCCCTGTAGCCGATTGAGCTTGTGCGAGGAAGGTATGGCTATTATTATTATTTACCGTGGCGACTTACAGATTATTATTGATGGTGCCATTTGACTTACAGGTGAGGATAATCCGGAAAACGCCACCCACCAACATCGAAACGGTAACACACTACAATTTGTAATCTAGATGTCATATCAACAGAAATTATACGGCACCCACCAAATACTACAACTGTTTGATCTAGGATCTGAAGCCGTGTGTCAATGTACCACAGAAAGGCCCGTAAATGAACACGGACCGCTAGGCGCTCGACATACTGCGCTACCGAGTCGATAATTATGATTTGACCATTCAAGTGTTTCTATATCAAGATTGCCAAATCTTGAAACTTGTTATTTTATCTATTTTTATAGTGTTTTAGGCTCTTATGATTTTGTTGAGCGCCACTATATTTAAAACTTACTAAACTTGACAATCGATTAGTGATGAAAATATAGAAAATCACTAACCATTAAGATATTATAATTAAATAAGGTTTTAGATAAGGTAACGACAAATTCTAATTCACAGAGACTTACTTATTCAAATTTAAATGATTTATTAAAAACTTATCTGTTGAATCAGAGGTAATATTTAAGGAGTGACTGTAGAGGCCTTCTTCAAGGGGATTCGTATGAGATACTTCGGATATCACCAACTCTTCAAGTATAAATCTTCCTAGGTAAACTTAAATCTCATAAACTTCTTTAGATGACTCGAACTAACCCTCTTGATATACTTGGAATAAACTTCTGTAGCTGGAACTAAACTTTAAGTTTCTATACTTCTAAACATGCAGCTTGAACGTTCTTCCAAACTTCTAAACAATCTCTTTCGATATAACTTCTACAAAACCATCTAGATACAGCCAGGCTACAAGGAAAAAGGTAAAAATATCAAGAAAGGGACTAGGAAGATTATATAGGAAACAGATAAGATGCTTTTTACTATTAAATGAACTATTTAAATTATTATTTGAATAGTTTCACAGAGACTAAAATTAATATGAAAAGGAAAAATCTTATTTAACATATTTAAATATAGTAAAGCATATTATCTCTTTTCTAACAAAATAATATTTAATATTATATAAAATGGATTATCATGTGTTAATTAATGTTGAGGTTATGTTTCAGATTTGACATTTTAATTAGAAATTCTTGTACAAAATATATATTTTCAACAAAATATCGGTAGGAAACTTACCTTTTTAAAATCAGACGGTCATTAAAAATATTAAAGACAATTAGTACATCGGATGTCCAAGATAAAAGATAATTAAAAATTCAAATCAACTGCTTGTTGACAGAAACGAATCGAAATGACAATCCAAGTTTTGACACAAGGCATAAACGACAAATGACGTTAGGGTAGAGATGTTTGCGTCTAAATAACGAAAACGGTTTCAACCGTTACAATCTACGCATTCTAATGTACATATTTTAAAAGAATACCTATTATAAAATTGCGGTTGTCAGTTTCAACTTGATAATTGTACTGTACCAACAATTAAAGTGCTGAAATTGTACCTAGTTGACAAGTGGTAAAACGGTAAAATTTTACTTTAAATTAATATTTCAAAGCATCTGTTCACTTTTAAACTTATATTTGATGGTCATAATTAGGCCTGTCATCTGCCATTATCTAAATTACCTATGCCGAGCAAAAACCTGCAAAACCCCGGACATTTGGTTGAAATTAAGTTTTTTGCCCGGACATTCTTGAAATTGTTAATAAAAATAATTATTTTTGTATCAATTAAAACAGCTTCTTTGCTTTGCGATTTATTTAGCAATGTTTGGCAAAATCGACATAAAAACAGGCGAAGGGGCATTCGGGTATTTTAGCCGCTTATTATTCAATTAATCGAGTTTCCACTGACACAATAAGTGTCGGGGTTTCACCATGACACTTATTTTAAACCGTCTGGACGCTCCCCGAACTCCCTCCAAACTAGAACAAATCCAGGGAAATCCGGACGGATGCAGCCCTAGTCATAATAAATAATAATTAATCCTAAAGAACCTGCTTACTTATAACTTCTCAATTTTGTTTTGTGGTGAAAGTTTATTTATGGTTAGGTGGTATAATTTATTACTTTATGGTTTTACCTAAACTAGCGATACTACTAATACGATTATTTTATAATTTGAATAATTCATCGATTTATTTAGATGATAAAATGAATAAAAATTTGTATTCCAGATAAACTAATACATATATAGATCTCTTTCAAATGCACGTTGTTACAAAAATACAATCTATCAAGAACATGATCTTATCGAAATAAACAACCGGCAGTTAAATTCTTTTTGTAAATTTTTAAATAATTTTCAATCTGACTTACCCTTTGTGCAGAAAAGTTCCCAACTAAAAAACAAAATTGCACGTGACATCCTTATTTGGTCACACATTATTTTTGAAACGTTTGTGAAAATCTTCAGTATTATAATGTGAAGTGTTTCTAAACGTTGGATAATTTTAGATATGCCATTTGCATTTCTAATTGGTCAACCATTAATCTTTTACAACGAGACTTAGTTTTCTCACAAGTTTCAATGCTATGTTTACTCATCCTTGCGTGTCGCCTTGGTATTAAAATGACATGATAATTGACACGTCGAAATTTTCAAATTGAAATCAGGTTTTTTGTATTAATTAGCCAACATACAGCCGCCATATTGTGTGGAAGTTAATACATAATTGATTGGAAATAAGTTTCTCATTAATCCTTGTAATTACAATTTTTTTTAAAGTTTTCATGATAATGTGAAATTATGATTAGTTATTAAGGAATA